AAGACTAGAACAGGAAAGAATTAACATGTTACTCCAATACAGGCAGCACATACTTCATTCACATAGATTGCATTTTTTATTTTTTTTTTGCTTTTGTTAGTTTGGCTAGGACCTCCATATTTGTCAGAATATCTAAATGAACATGTCTATGATCACCTTTCCCACAAGACAGTGGGGTCCAAAAGTCCAGTTTTCAAATTATATTATTGACCGCAACTTGAGTGAACAGTAGAATCTTTGACATATTTACACATCAAACTTTTGCTTACATTTAAATAGAGACCTAGAAATAGTGCAGAATCTTGAATATTAAATATTCAAAATATTAAACATTTACTTTCTTTGTTTTAAATATTTCAAAATTCAAAAACCTTCTGGGACATCTTTTTCATTTAAAAATCTGAAAATTCAGACTTTTGGACCCCACTGTATGTCAAAACATGTTAATTTAGTCATTTTTAAAACCAGTACAAAACATCTTTTGAGGCTTTTGTTAACATTTTAGTTTGAATCATTATTCCTATATATTTTTTTTAGTAGTAACTTTTTGGCTCTGTTTTTTTTTCCATTCATCTGAAATACAACTTTTTATTATTCTTTGATGTATTTTTTAAAAGTATTTTTATTATTGCCCTTTTACTGACATTCTTCCATTTTTCAGTTACATGTTCTTGTTAAATGCATTAAGCTGCCTTTTTAGGTATGAAAGGTATTGTATTTTATATATATATATATATATATATATATATATATATATATATATATATATATATATATATATATATATATATATATATATACACATACATACAACTATAATGATTGTTGTTACTCCTGCCTGATTTGTCAGACTGTGTAAATGCCTGTGCTGCTTCACTGTTCAAAGCAAAGTCAGTGTGAGGACAGTTTGACTGCTGAGTGCGTCTGTTCACTCAGCTTACTCAGCAGGAATGATGGTGATGTTGGGCAGCGCACACGCTTGACTGTAATTCTGATACCTTTATAGCTTCCAAATAGATATATCAAGGCCTGCAGTGTGATAATGCTTAATATCTAGCATAATGTGTGCTCCTAATTTCTGTTTGAACCTTTGGGTCAAAAGCTTTTTGTAAGAAGGCACAAAGCTTCAGGAGGTAATGGAGTTTAATGTGTAATTGACTGGAGATAAGTCTATGAAGCAGGGCTCGACTGATAAGGGTGTTTTAAGGGCAGATACCAACATTTGAAGAGCAATAAGGATGATGATAGATAATAATAAACTGCAGACACAAAAGATATTCAGTTACAATTTTAAGAAGCATTCTTCTTCATGATCTTTGTAAATATCAGTAAGGTCTAATTAGAAAAGATGCCATCTAATATGCCATTTGGAGCAAGTGGGTATTTCATATACCCATCCCAAAGAAACTAAACACCTGCATTCTCTTGTTATATAAATAGACTTTCAATGAACATCATCATGGACAGTTGCCTTACATTATTTTTAAGAAGGATGGAAAGAATTATTTGCACAAAAAAACATTGCACAAAATAATTCAAACTCTTGAGTTTGCCTAAAATAGGCAAACTGACTTTTTGCTAAAACAAAAATATTTCACGTTAAAGTGAAATTAAGTAATAGTGCTTTGCCTCAAACATATATCTGCCAAAATTACTGATACTCCTAAGGAATATTTTAAATAAATGCAGACAGTTTTTTTTTCATTCTTGAAACACTTTATTATTATTATTATTATATTATATTATATTATATTATATTATATTATATTATGTTATGTTATGTTATGTTATATTATATTATTACTATATTATTTTTAAGTTGCTTTCAGTCCCCAGGAACTCTGTGTACTTTTAACCGTATACTGTTTCCCTGGGATATAAATATGAGGTTGCACACACAAAATAATTTGTTTATCCATTGCCATGAGACAAACATTACCATGGATTAGATAGTTCTGAACCTGCACAAATGAGGTAATCGATAGAATCGATATCAAGTAGTTAAAATGCTATTAAGCATATTTAGGGGCATAAAATAAAGTTTAACATGCCTTAAACTGCTGGAAATTTGGGAATTGGGCACATAGTAGTGCCACATGTTTGAGCTCAATTTATCACTTATTGCTATGTGTTATTCTTTTTATATATTAATTTTTGCCTATTTTCATGAAGGGTGCCAATAATTTTGGAGTAGATGTATTAATAAATGGATTTGGCACTTTTGGTAAAGTTTTGCCTGAACACACAAGGAACTGTCTTTTCAGTTACATGACAGACACAACTGCCTTTTAAAAAATTTTTGGAATTGTAAAAATCAGAATAGTGATGAACATATATTTGGCGTTTTTATGTTCAACAAAATTAGCTTTTGGAAACAAACAAGATGGAACACTGGGCGTGAGGCTGGAATAAATATTACATAGACTTCTAAGCTCTGTCAGCCATAATTTATGCCGTACAGCCTATTAAGTAGACAAATGTGAAGAATTTTGTCTCTGCCATGAGTTATCTGTAGTTGAATGTAAAGGAACCTGAAAGTCTGTGTGTCGACTTGGTTCCTTCCCGTCTAAGTGGACTATTTACTGCATTATCTTTTACTCTGAGTAAAGAGCAGTGGCTGTGTTGGACTGCTGTAAACATGGCATTTGTGCCAGTGCTGGATTTATTGAGCTCTTTTTTAGGCTGTGTGTACGCCTGTAGAGGAAATCCTAGGTTACGTCAAGACTGTGCTGCTTTAACAGGGACGTTTCCTTATCAACAGGAAGGGTGTGCTCAGGTGAAGGGTTGCATATTGTGAGTGTTTTTTTTTTTTAGTAGGATTTACATGCTTATGTGTTACCAGTTCTCACATAGGCTACAGGATGTGAGAATTGTGTCACACTGATGAAGATCTCTTTGTGAATGAATGTATGATTAGAGTTCTCCAAAAAGAGACCTTGAAGGTCCACAGTGAACCTGATCCTTCTTTTATTTTTTTTCTGTCTGAGATTTGTCCTGGGCTGCTTCCTTCTTTTGGGTGTTTTTAATACTACAGCATATAAATCAGAAATCACAGGAACTGAAACTATGCTTCATGTGTGGAATCTGGAGGACTTAAATGCTGTGGTGTTTTTTTTTTTTCTCTTTTCTTTCTTTTTTTTTTTTAAATGTCATACTTGCAGCTTTCGTCACATGCACTATGTGGTTACTTGGTTACAATTTAAAAAATAAATGATTCTGATATTCTTTGCAGATTTTTTTTTTCAAATATCTAAATGTATTTACTGCATTTGATTTCAGTTGAATTTAGCCTTTGCTACTTTACTGCTTTCGAGTCTTCTGTCTTGAATGTGTGATGCTTTAAAATCTGTTTTAAACTGGATGGATGACTGTGTTTACCATGCACCTCTGCCATCTGGTGGTTGAGAGGTGTAGGTGCTTTTAGAGAGGCTAATGTTGAATATGGCAACTAATTACTTAGATACATGGATTAACTTAAAATTAACTGTAAACGGTTAACCTACTGAATTTGTAAATCACCAGTGCAGTGAGTTTTCTCATTTTCCCTCCCCCATAGATCTGTGTACGATGGGCAAGAACATGGGCTCTTCATGGAGAAGCTGGAGGGGCGGATTCGCAACCACGACCGCGAGATCGAGAAGATGTGCAACCATCACTTCCAGGGCTTTGTGGACTCCATCACAGAGCTGCTTAAAGTTCGCGGAGAGGCGCAGAAACTCAAGGTGAGAAACAGACTGAAAAAGAGATGAGGAAGAGTGTCAGGACATGGGCAAAATCGCAAGGTTCTATACAGAGTTACAGAACTGTGAAGAAAAGAGTGGTGTATAATACTAAACAGTTACTGTGGTTGTTAAAATGTAAGACTTTATGGTGGTTGAGAAACATTATTAGAGGTGTGATAGACTTTTTGGCTCTTCTTTTCGTGCAGGGTCAGGTGACTGAAACCAATCAGAAGCTGCAGAACAATGGCAAGGAGGTATGACATCATCTTGTAGCTTTCTTTAACATAATTTAAATGATAGCCAAGGTGGAATTATGATGATCTTCCATGATTTGTACTTTTTGTAGCTACTGGCGACGATGGACGAGTTGAGACGTTGCCGTTTGCAACAGAGGAACATTGCCACCACCATCGACAAACTCACTCACTGCCTTCCAGGTACGTCCCTGATCTTTACTCACTTTCTGTGTATCTTGGACGTAGTTGACCTGGGAGAATTTGTCCACAGGAAAACCTGATTGAATATGCTACAAGATTCGAGGTAAATCTAAATATAGCAAATAACTTTTTCATGTGGCTATAGAAAAAGGTTGTATGTACAGTACTTTAAATGTGAGCACACACAGACATCTTTCCTCCATTTTAGCTAACAGTATTCCTCCATTTTATTTTTCAGTGCTAGAAATGTACAGCAGGCTGCAAGAACAGATGAAAGCCAAAAGGTAAGATTCTCATACGAGAACTTCAGGGGCGGTTGACTTCAATGGGACTGAAGGCCATGATTTTTATTATTTACTTTAATTTACCTTTTATTTTTTATTTCCACAAAGTGTTCACACACACAGCAGTAATAATAACGCTAAGTATAACAATAATAATTGCAAATTGCTATCAAAGGTGACAGAAAAGCACTGGCAAAACATGCACTTTAAATTGATCTTGGTTTACTTTAAGTTGACTCATGAACGAAAGGGAAAGAAAGTGTGTGTCTCAGTGCTCAGTGCCTGCAGAACTGTGCTCTCATGTGAGATAGTTTCTCTGCATGCTGACTTCACTGCTGCCTGCTCGCATATACCTTAGTGTGTGTGCAGTTCACAACACCTCGTACTCATTTTTAATGACCAAGCTTGCTAACACTGCTCTGCACACTCAGGTTGCCCATTCTCATGCTCTCTATTAAAGATGATGTTTAAAGTCCATAGCCTGAGTTCTGAGATGAAGAACTGACGAAAATGTGTACCGTTGTTTTTAGTCCCTCAGGCGCTTTGAACCAGTGCAGTGTAGTGATAGCTCAGTGGTAGCGACATTGGACTACTGATTGGAACGTCGTGAGTTCAAATCTCAGCACTGCCAAGCTGCCGCTGCTGGGCCCTTGAGCAAGGCCCGTAACCCTCAACTGCTCAGTTGTATAAATGAGATAAATGTAAGTTGCTCTGGATAAATGTAAATGTAAATGAGCTCGATGATGTTTCTAGAACAATGAAAAAATGTGGTATTACTGTAGAATATCACATTCGGTTATGTTCACATGTGAGAATACTAGTGTCTTGCTATGATTTGCAAGAAATATAACAATAAATTAGCTTTTTTATTTAAAAAAAAAAGCTTGTTAAAGGAGTTATGGCTTTGGGGAGCTGTTACCATGGCAACCCATTTATCTTTCACCAGACAGAGGCCTAGTCTGCATTATATCTGATTAATAAGCACTAGGTGGCAGCAGAGACTAAACTAAATTCAAAATGAGTTCTGTCAACCATCCAGTAGTAATTTGAATGTCACAGTTGTAGAATTTGTTCTTTCACAGAATGTTCAAAAACATTGTGGGTGGATTTAGACATCTGTTATTTATATATTTTTGTAAATTTGTTAATTACACACACACACACATCAATATTGGCCATGTAGGTTATTATTAAAAATACATTTTGGTTTTCATTGAATTACTTACCCAGGTCTGCCAGCTTTGTGCTGCAGTTTGGCCTAAAGCTAATGAAACTGGCTACTGACCCACAGTCTCCAAAAGGAGAAATTTTAAGCCAGCGAAGTTGGATAGTTTGAGCAGACTAGAGATAACCAGCAGAAAGCAGTCCTGTCTGACCAGTGCAAATAAACCAAAGGAGAAAGAAGCAGCGATGCGAGATGAGCTCCAAATCTATTATTATTGAGGATCCAGTGATTAAAGCGTGAGAATGCCAGACTAGTGTTCACTCACAAATGCTTTTAATACTTGTGCAGAAGTGTACAGCATTTGGGACTGTTGTGTTTTGTGCGTAAATAGATTTGGTAACAATTTAAAATTGGCCATCGGGTGTTGTTCTTTTCGGTCTTGTCCTTTTTCTGACCCAAGGATGAGCAACTTGTAGACTATAAATCTTGCGTCTGGTTTTATTTTATTTATCATTTCTGTCTGTTTTGGTTTTGCCATTAGCCCTGAGAGAGAGCGGAGGTCGGCCAGGAGTGGCTCTCTGTAGATCATGAAATATTGTGTAATGTTGATGTGCATCTGCTTGATCTCTAAAACGCACAGAGAGTTGGCTATTGATTTAAGGCTGGAATTTGATTCTTTTATGTTATTTCTCACATGTATTGAACTTAAATTTCTTAGATTGAAGTTCTTTTTGATTTCCCTGACATGGTCTTCTTGTGAACTTCAGCTTTCTTGAATAGGTTGAATGTGGATTAATAATGCTATCAGTTTCAGTGTTCAAAGCTAAAATGCTTTGGTGTTTGTCACTTCATATAGTAACACAGGATCATTTCAGAATGTACAAGAAATTGACTCCTCTTTATCATGGCCATCTTACCACTGTGTGTGTTTGTGTGTGTTCAGATACTACCCCGCGTTGTGCACGTTGGAGCAGTTGGAGCAGAACTGCCTGCCGAAGGCGGGACAGTATCGTTTCTGCGCCATCATGGCTGAGAACATCCCAGTCTTGCGCACACACATCAGAGACGTCTCCATGTCTGACCTCAAAGACTTTCTGGAGAGCATACGTAAACACTCGGACAAAATTGGAGAGACTGCCATTAAACAGGTCTGTGTCTGTTCAGCATGTATGTGATTTGGTGTGAATGTGGCTGTCAGTATTTCTATTATTTACATGTGCCAGGAGAATAAATGATTGGATTTTGATTGTGTCTGTACGTCGAACCAAAAGTCAGTGAAATGCTTATTGTTTAGACTGAAGAGAGTTGAATCCCAAACTTTTGACTCCATGTATTGCCCTCATGACTAAAATCATATCTAGAGTTGTGTGAGGTTTCTATATCTTTTAAATACTGCAGAGACAGAGATATAGAGATAGATGTTAAACACTCAAACCAATGTAACCACTCCCCACATTTTTAGTTTCATAGTGGTGCAGTTTGGGATCATACACTATTGGGGTACAGTGTAACTGCTGTAACATCATTGTGCATGTTTTTGGGGAGAATTTATGACACTGACACTCAGAGAGCAGCAACTTATCCCTTGTGTCTTGATTGGTCAGTGGTACTTGGCTCTTAATGTTAGAATTATTTAGTTACTTATTTTCTTTTAATTAACTTATGAAGAACGTTGTATTGATAAAAAGAAGGAAATCATAATTTAGAACTGACAGTCTGAATGCTTGACAGTCTGGTGTTCAATGCCTGTGTGTGTGTGTGATTTTGATTAATTTATTTTTTGGCAAAGTACCGTTTTGGAATTGAGAATCGCGATACTACACCTGGGAGTGCTATCGAAGTAAAAATTTTAGTATTGTAACAACCCTATTTCTATCCAAATCAAATGCCGCTGTTTCATCATGACTCATGAATAATATGAGATTGCATTATATTGCACTATACTGCAATACATGCAGCGGCCATCTTGTGTGCACATAGTAAGCACAAACCTGGCCTAAGGGTTCACCCTTGGTTTTGGTCAGAGAATGAAGAACGAACGCTGGGCTACTGTGTATGTCATTCGTTTGCTTTGTTTTATCTCACGTTTCTGCTCTTTATCTCTGTCCATCTATTCCAACCCGTTGGCAGAGAACTGCCAAGCTGTTGTGAATTAAAGATTTTTGGGTCATATTAACTCTTGCCAGAAGACACTTGAACTGAACTCTCTGTATGTCTGTGTATGTGTGTGTATGTGTGTGCGTGAGTGTATGCGAGTGTGCGCGAGTGTGAATGTGTGATTGTCAACAAGGACCCTTCTTCAAGGACAAACTGGTGAGTTAAGGAGAAGACCGAGGGAACACATATGAGAGAAATTGAATGGACTTTCCGAGGAATGCAGAAAAGGTCCTGCTTTGTTTTACTGATTATTAGTCCAAGATGAGGATCATGGAGGAGTTTCAAATGCCGAGTAGGCATCAGGAGTCGTCCCCAGGCCTCGTCGAAATGGATTTCTCTCTCTTTCTCTTTATTCTGTCTTTTTTCCCCTCTGTTTCTCATTCGTTCTCTCTTCCTTTTCTACCATTGTCTCTGTGTTTTTGTCCTTTTTCCACTCCTGTTTTTTTTCCCCTCTTCCTTGTGTCCTAATCACTACCAGTTCCCCTCATTACGGAATTGTTACTGCTCCCAATAAACAAACAATGCGGCAAGGCAGGCGCCAAGAAGATATCACAGGAAGGCACACATACACACCCGCACTTTCTTGAGTTGTAATCAGTACTGGTCTTGTATTCGTGAGTTAGCGAGTCGTATGTGCAGCATGTTGAGTGTTTGCTCTCTTCTAGTGCAGCATGCTCACTACACTTTCAGTTCTCCTGATCTGAACCTGTGACTTGCCTCCACTCACCTCTACTCCACATCTTTACTATCTCAGTTGGACTCTACTGCTGGTGGCCTGCAGGCTCCAGAGATGTTCTTGAAGGACATATACCCACATCAGCTGGCTGTCACAGTTCTGCTTGAGCTCTCTGTCACTTCTATGAGGAAGACTCCTGTATCTTATTATGAGAGCATGTGCAAAGACATGTGCGTTTCATAGCCTGTCTGCGTCAGGCAAGCTGTGATGGGAGATGCGTCACTGTAGCCCCAGATCCATGCTCGCAATGCACTGTGGGATCATCAGCAAGGAAAGGGAATGAAAGAGATTATGAAGAATGGGAATCCTTTTTTTTTTTTTTTGCTACAAGCTGCATCTCTTTAAGCTGGATAGGCTGTAAGCCAGTGAAATAATGAAACACTTTTTCAGACTTATTCAGTCACTTTCTTTTTTTTTTTTAAATGATACATTTTTTTCTCTGTCCTAGTCTTTCACTAACAAAGACTAGCTACCACAGTGTCAGGATTTGTGTAACTTCAGCTCACATTCTCAGGCATGTATACACACTAAGACATTAATATGAGAATTTAATTAGCATTTGATCAAACATACATCTTAATAGAGCTCATAAAGTAGTAAACTAAACTGTTCTCTCATCTTCCATCTGCCATGATGGCTTTTTAACCTGCGTGGCTTTAGCTACTTTTCCACTTTCAGAGATGAGGACCAGATCAAGGTCAAGACTTGGCACAAGAGTAACTCTGGAGTCAAACATTTATTTGGGGTAGACACATCTTTCTGGACGGCACTACTTCATGCATAAATGGAACACTGTAGCCTCATTTCACTGACTATCCATTCATATTAAAATGTAAAGGAAAGGGTTCTGAGCTTGTGCATACAGACTCCATTATGGTCGTTCCTGTGTATCTGTTTTAATAGGATTTTTTTTCTGAGCCATTTCATGGCCTTTATGCTTGGAGGCTTTTTGTGCTTCTATCTTCAACTGTCCAGGTTTGATGATTCTGTGGCCACTGTAGTCTCAGATTCCTGTTCTTATCTGACAGAAGTGGAACCTGATGTGATCTGCTGCTCTTGTAGCCTATCCACCTCAAGACTTGATGCGTTGTGAGTTATGAGATGCTTTTCTGCTCAGCGTGGTTGTACAGAGTGGTTATTTGAGTTACTGTAGCCTTCCTGTCGGCTCAAACCAGCCCAGCCTTCTCCTCTAACCTTTCTCATCAACGAGGCGTTTCTGCCTGCAGAACTGTCACTCACTGGGTGTTTTTTTTGTTTGTTTGTTTTTTTTGCACCATTCTGTGTAAACACTGTAAACTGTGGTGTGTGACTCCATTGAAATCTGAGGAAATCAGCAGTTACTGAAATACTTGTACCAGCCCGTCTGGCACTAACAAACATGCCATGGTCAATGTCACTGAGATCAATTTTTTTCCCCATTCTAATGTTTGATGTGAACATTAACTGAAGCTCTTTACCTGGTGCTGCCACATGGATGAGCATCTGTACAAGTGTTCCTAATAAAGTGGTCAGTGAGTGTAAAATGACTGACAGGAGGTCCATGTAAACACAGACAGGCAGTCATGGACAACAG